AAATATTTACCTATTTAAAAAAAGTAAACGAAAAAATTGTTAGTATTTTTTAAATTTATGAACTTGTTCACGGCAGCGACAACACAACTATTTTGAATCACGATTACATTGTTGTTACTTGACAAGGAAATTGTTATGAAACGAAAGTGCTGTTTCTGGATTGGTTTCCCGTTCAGACACAAAACAATACTGTTGTTATTTAACAGCATTACTGTAGGTGATTGTGTTGTAATATTACAGTGGATTTTTAACAGTGAAGCTGGGTCATTTTGGGTTGCAGGTGGGCACCCCGCACTGTAAAGTACTCTGGGACGAAGGCCCACGCGCCTCCAAGGTCACACAATTAGGCGCACATCACGTATTTTGCCTAGATTCGGAATTCGGATCTAGCTCTCTTACTGCCATCCCTTCAATCGACAAAATTTAGCTGGACCTCTGATTATATGGTGTACGTTGCACCTTTCCCTGAAGTTTTGTGTAAAGTGAACGTGATTGAGTAAAATGATGTTCAATTTGAACTGCCAACATTCGTAGTTCATACACTGCAAACCTAACTGTCTACTAAGTACACACTAACAAATGCGTGCTTGCAAGTACACACTTACAAACGCATGCTTGGCGCCGTTATAACTCCATAACGCATGCTTGACGCCGTATAACTCCATGTGTCAAGCATGCGTTGCAAGCATGCATTTGTAAGTGTGTACTGTGTACCTGGCCAAGCATGCGTTTGTAAGTGCGTACTTGTAAGCATGCATTTGTAAGTGTGTACTTAGTAGGCAGTAAGGTTTGTAGTGTAGTTTAAATTTGCATGCCAGGAGCCGCCAACAATTGCTGCGTAGAAAATATGGGGTGTACAAAATTAATCTGAATATTAATAAAAAACAAAAGAGACACAATGAAAAATTTTCTCTGTTCTTCAATTTTACCCTTCCCATCAAATTTTTGGCCCGTCCCGTTTATTTTTTGTATAAAAAATGACGGAGGGACGGGCATATAGTATGATCCCTGCTGTGCGTCCGTTCGTTCGTCCGTCCGTCCGTCCGTCCGTCCGTCCGAGAACTTCCCGTGGTCCGATCTTGACCAAATTTGGTATGCAGCCTCCTTGGGTGACCCTAAGAACCGCCCGGTGGCAGCAAATCCGATCCGAGCCCCGGGGGCGCTGCTGCAGGTGCATCATGGTCTTCATGGGGTCGAGGAGGATCTCGGCAACGGATGCAGCTAGGAGGGCATGTAGGGGTATTTTTGGAATCGGGGCGACGAGAGAAAACCAATGGTGCCAGTTTCGAGCGAATCGGAGAACTTCGGACCCGGGTTCAAATCCCAGCGGAGTATTTTTTGAACATTCTTTTTATTCGTGTTTTTGCATTGTTTTTGATGTTTTCGAGGGTGCTGATGACGAAAACGACATTTATTTTAACCTCAGACTCAGGTTTAGTTCCCGTCAGGGTCAAACATAGGCGAAATTCGTACGTTTCTTAATGTACGGGACGGGCCAAAGTTGCCGATGTATATCGCTACTTTTCCTGTTATTCTCAGCCTTCTCACCAGCGGCCAGAAGCACTCTTCCTGGGCAGGCCACCAACAACACTGCAGAGGTCGACGGGATGGCCTACCTCCAGGCGCTCCGCTGCTCATTCCGAATCTGGGCAAAATACGTGATGTGCGGCCAATTGTGTGACCTTGGAGGCGCGTGGGCCTTCGTCCCAGAGTACTTTACAGTGCGGGGTGCCCACCTGCACCCCAAAATGACCCAGCTAGTCCTTCAAACACGCGGAGGAACCCGTGCCGCCCAAGTGGCGTACGTAGGAGGGTGAAACAAGCGGTTTTGGGCGGTATTTCGCGTTTTGGTCAAAAGCTGACCCTTAGGAAGCATATACTGGGACTTCTGCATTCAGATTCTTGAAGAGGGCACTTTTCTGAAGATTTTGAGCTGTCTAGGAGCCCTGTTAGTGTTGCAGCTGAATATTGACAAAAATGTCAAATTTTTTCGCATTTTGGACATATGACCAACTTTGGGTGACCCTAAGTCAATTCCGACGGCAGATTTGGATTCCTTGTTCAATTTTGAGTGGGAGTACCAAGTTTGAACGGAGTCTTGCGATTAGAAAGGAAGTTATAGCCGTTTTCGTAAAAACCTACACTAATTTAAGAAAAAATGGTCAAAATGAAAAAATGCGTTTTTAGCCAAACCATGCATTGTAGAGGTCTAACTTTTTGGTGGACGACTTATCTACAGGTAGGTAACATTTGACCAAAATTTGGAGCAAATCGGAGGGGGTCGATGTAACGGGATGTAAAAGTAGGATGGAATGACCCTTCTCCGACTTTAGCAACTCCGCACACCCCACTTCGGCCGGTTTTCTCTATCTTCCTACAACTATGTCGTCTTCTCAAATTAAGGGAAGTTTTGACACGGAAAGGATTTGCTGAGTGCTAAAATGGCGCGGAACTTAATCACGCTCACAACCTTACCATGTTGATCATTAATGAAAGGTACTTACAACACTGGTACAACAAAGGCGTAAAAATTACGGCGACATGAGCCCCGTCCCGTTTGAGCCCCAAAGGTGTGAGCCCCAACCTGAGCCCCAAGCTGAGCCCGGGTTGAGCCCCGACCCAAGCCCCAATTTTCAGAGCCCGGATTGAGCCCCGTTTGACCCTTATGTGAGCCCCACTTGAGCCCCGTGGCAATAAATCATGCAATATTTCGTGATTTCAGGTCGGGGCTCAATCCGGGCTCTGGAAATTGGGGCTTGGGTCGGGGCTCAACCCGGACTCAGGGGATCAGGTCAGGGCTCAGACCATCGGGGCTCACGTCCTGTATGCCAAAATAACGCCCTTCAGGGCGTAAATACTCCTATATTTTAAAGGCGTTAATCGTTTTCTGCCCTTCGGCAGGGCGTGAGAATGATAAAGGCATTGCAAGCGAAATTTAAATGCCCCTGGAAAAGGCAATAACGATTCACGCCGCTCCCAGAGCGTAAATCGTTTACGCTCTCAAAGGGCACAATTTTAATGCCTTTGTTCCACCAGTGAAATTATTGAGTTTGTTGGAAAAGCGAAATATAGTTCATAAATTTCGAGGCTTTTTCATTGTTCTAAGAAGCTCCCTTTCTTTGTAAAGCCTAAAATAGTTTGTGACATTTTCAGAGTGATGTGGTTAGTATGTGGTGGCGTCATGATTGGTTGAGAAGGCGTGTGGAACACTCTTAAAACCTTACGAAGTATTTTAAGCATACGTATAACAAACTAAAATACTTTCCCGAGAGAAAATTATAGGCTGCAGGCTGGCTTCCTCCGGGTGCCTGAGAGCGCTCGGATGGATCTCGGATGGCTGCAGACAGTGGCTGTATTCGGACATACGTCAGCCAAAATCCAGCCATCCACAGCCGCTGCAGCCTCTCTGGCCAGCCATTGAAGTGTCCCTTAGGAGCCGAGTCGGCCCTTTCCCCGCTGCTCTAGGCTGCACCCCGCAGCCTACGGGATGCTCCAGGCAGCCTTCCTTCGCGGACCACGCTGCCCCCAGCAGCCACGAGGCTGCGAGGCGCTGCTCTAAGCTGCACCCCGCAGCCTTCAGGATGCCCCAGTCAGCTTTCCTTCGCCCGGGCCACGCTGCCCCCGGAAGACTAGAGGCTGTGAGGCGCTGCTGTAGGCTGCACCCCTCAGCCTTCAGGATGCTCCAGGCAGCCTTCTTTCGCCCGGCCCACGCTGCCCCCGGCAGCTATGAAGCTGCGGGTCACAGCCACATCTCGGCCGCATCCTGCAGCCTCGTGGATGCCATCGGCAGCATCCATCGCTACTAGGCTTCACTCCTTAGTACATGAAGGTCCCCATGACGACCTTTGAGGGTGCCTGTTACGCTCTTTGAAGTTCTATGGATCCCTTAGTAGATTTTCTAGGGTCCCAACACCGTTCCAGATCCAAATCTGCCAAGGACTTTCCGTTCCCAAGATATCAAAGATAACAAAAAAGTGTCCCGATTTTTACGAAACTTGCATGGCTTATGTATGTTAACGTATTCAACTCAAATATCAGCATACCACGCACCCATTCTATTTTTTTCTATTTTTTATAACCCTTTAATCAAGGAGTGCGCCTGAATACCGCCAGCATCCACCATGCTGCATCCGTAGCCTACAGCCATTGCAGCCTATATGGCTGTCTAGTCCTGCCGTAGCCCGGCTGCATCCGGCAGCCAACACGCTGCGACGCGCAGCCTACAGCCATTGCAGCCTACGTGGCTGGAAAGTGCAGCCGCGCCCAGGCTGTCGCTGGCAGCCAGCACGCTGCGACGCGCAGCGTGCAGCCTACAGCCATTGCAGCCCGCCTGGCTGCGAAGTCCAGCCGCGGCCTGGCTGCCGCCAGCAGCCAACACGCTGCGACGCGCAGCCTACAGCCATTGCAGCCTTCGTGGCTGTAAAGTGCAGCCGCGGCCCGGCTGGCGCCAGAAGCCAACACGCTGCGACGCGCAGCCCACAGCCATTGCAGCCTACATGGCTGTAACGTCTAGCCACGGCCCAGCTGGCGCCAGCAGCCAACACGCTGCGACGCGCAGCCTACAGCCATTGCAGCTAAGTTGGCTGTGCGTGGCAGCGTTTATAGGCTGCTTCGGGCAGCCAAAAGGCTTCTGTGCGCAGCTTCTGAAGCGTTCCACAGCCAAAGCGCTCCGTGAAACAGCCAGGCCAGCCACTGCAGCGTGGATGGCTGCAAGTCCAGGACATCGATATGGCTGCGACATGGCTGCAAGGCAGCCACGGCAGCCATGCATACAGCCAAAAAACGGTCTATACAGCCATGCGTCAGCCAAGCGTCAGCCTATCTGCAGCCTTCTATTTTTACTCGGGTTGTTTATACGAAGAAATAGTTCGTAAATTACGAAGTATTTTCTTTGGAAGCTTACGTATGCTCAAAATACTTTGTTATACAAACTACTTTTCTTTGTAAGGCCCAAAATAGTTTGTAAGGTTTTCTCAGTGAATGGAAAGGACCTCTCTCACCTCCTGCACCTGCCGCCGATTGGTGGACAGCGCCAGTCGGTCACCCGCCACCAGGAAGAGCGCGGCCAGGGCCTCCGTGAGGGACCACGTCAGGATGAACGCCGCGTACACGGGGAAGGCCATCGGGTACGCCGACACCGCCTGAAACGCATCCCATACACTAAATGTCTTACGAAGAAATTTCCCAGATTACGAAGGAAATGGCGCAAGCATTATATGAGGGTGTTTTTTCGTCGTATTACGAAGGTTTTTCTTTGTATCTTCCAATGAAAAAGCTAAAAAGATTCGTATTACGAAGGAATATTGCTTCGTATTATGCTTGCGCCGAATTCACTGTAACATACGAATAACATAGGTCTAATTTCATTGTAAGACATTTTGAGTGTACAGGTGAAGTGTGACTGAAAATAATTTCACCGAAACTTGGCTGGACAGACTGTTGACCAAATATTGGCGATGCATAAGAGCATCGCCAAGAAAGGGCGATACAGAAACAGACAAAACTTTCTAACCCCACAGGAGTGCTATCGCTCAGCCCGAAATATTTTAAACAGTGTATTGCGATCACTGGTACAGCTTAAGCGTAGTATTACCGTGACACGGGGTAACTTCGGACACTTAAGAGAGGTTTTGTTTTGAAATTGTGAAAGTTGTGGTGTTGTCATGGACTTGAGGGTTAAAATTTATCATCTACCCACCTCTACCTTCGATTTGGCGCTAATTTCAAGTATCTGCGCCTCACCGTTTTTACAGTGGAGAGTCCGAAGCGGTGTCCGAAATTACCCCGTGTTTTGGGGTAATTTCGGACACCCCTGGAAAAAGTAACTCTTTGTTCTGATTTTGGTCTCAAAATCGATCATTGTCTCTTTCGAAAGTGCTTACATGGTTATATGTGAAATTAGTAAGGGTTTATACATTGCTCCGGCCCTGAATCAAATCATTATACCCTTCCTGACCGACAAGGGGCTTTGGTCTGCTAAAGTCCGGAAATTATTTGCCCACTTTGACACCGTCTATTACCAAGGACTGAGAGAAGAATTGTCAGTGTTCGGCAATCCACTGAAATCCACCACATCGCCTTTGGAGGGGACTCACTGCTGGTTCAATTCACAAAATGGAAAGCATCCCGCCTTTCGGGCCATTCACAGTAAGTTCCATTGTTTTAAAAGGACATGGGAAGGGAAGCATAAAAAAATGTGCATAAATATGTGACGTATTAGTGAACCACAAATTTGTTTTCAGCAACAATCAGAGGTGATGAACAAAGGAGTTGGCACAAGTCTCAGAGCTGCCCAACAGCTGCGCAGCGAAGGAAGAACAATAAGGCTCTTCAAGACCGACCACTGAGATCCCAAACGCTATGAGTATAGCACGTATGGTGCAATGCGCTGTGATATCGCACCATACGTGCAATGCCTCAGCCATATTGCACCTTTGGTGCAATGCTTCCCGAAAAGGCCCTATGCTAATGCATGGGAAATGGGAGGCATTGCACTTCATGTGCAATGCTTTTGCATTGCACCAATTGACGCTATACTCATAGCGTTTGGATTCTCAGTGACGTCAGGATCTTGAAGAGTCACTGCTGTCGTTCGCAGATGTGCCCCAGTTCCTCAAGTCGTGGGCCCTGAAGGAGAACGAGTCGGGCCTTCGGATGCTCCGGCTCGTCAGGTGCCTCTTTGAGCTTACTCTTATCGTTTCTCACAAAAATAGTATTTGTCTTATTTGTGTTTATTTAAATTCATTAGGGACTTCCCCGAATTCAACCGCGCCGAGAGATGGCAGCCGACGGACATCGCCCTGCTCCAATTGCCGCCTGCTCAAGGGATTGTGCTGCCACCTGCACAAGGAATAGAGCTGCCCTCGGCAGCCCAGAGGTATCAAATCTATCAGAGCTATTTGATGAAACACTATATATGTCGTCACTGGACCGTTCCTCACCAGACCTGCCAAGTGATGGAGTAAGTTCCCACCCAAACACCCCAGTGAGCAAGCGAAACATATCTACTCAAACATTTGTAAGTGCTAAATTTTAAATTGATTATGTAAGTATTGAGTTTTCTTTTCAATTTTGATTATTGTCTTTTCTTTGCACTAGGTACCCGTGACAATTGACAAAGCTGTTCAAACAATCCCAATGCGACACTGCAAGAAAAAGTGTGAATAGTACAACAAATGTACAACAAAAACTGTGGAATAAAAGTACAACAGGGATTGTAGAAAGTACAACGAGAATTGTACAAACCACAACGAGGCCTGCACTGCCCAGCACTCGTTATGCCGGTTCCATTGTACTTTGTACAACAATTGTTGTACTTTGAAAGTACAATAAAAACCTGATACAAAATTTGCCAGAAATGTGTGTACTTTTGTTGTGGTTATTTCCTGCAGTGGATTTGCATCATATGAGCGTTGCAAAAACAGTCCAAAGTTTCAATTTTTCACCGGCCTTAGTGTGGAAGACTTCAATGCACTGTTGAACCTAATTGGAGGTGCTAAAGTTATCAGAACTTTAAAATTGCACTATGACCAAGACACTCCTGTTAAGTTGAGACCAACGACCCTATCGTGTGAAGATAAGTTATTCTTGTTTCTTCTGCGCTTGAGAAGAGGACTACCACTGGAAGATATGAGTGAGATTTTCAACCTTAGTGTGGGAATGATTAGTTTACTTTTTTCTGCCATGACAAGGCTCATTTATCTGACCTTCAAGGCCATGGAAGAGGAGATGTTTGTCAGCGCAGAGCATCAAAAGAAAAATAAGCCTACGAAGATGCGTCATTTCCATAACTTGCGAGTCCTGTTAGATGGAGCGTCATTTTTTATTGAGACCCCATCTAATTTTGAACAACAGGGCAACACATTTTCACTGTACAAGAGCCACAATGTCCTATTGTTTTCCATTGGGATTTCCTGTACCGGAGCAACAATCTTCTGTAGTGATGGTATGGAAGGTTGCATGTCTGATAAGGAAGTCATAATAAAAAGCGGACTGCTCAACAGGCTTTCAAAAGGAGATAGAGTGATGACTGACCTCGGCACAGAGGTTTTGCAAAGCTCATGAAAGACAAGTTTGGTGGTGTTGAAGCTTTGAAAACACAAGAGTTAACTATTGGAGACGTTGGCGTCATCAAGGAAGAAAGAACAATATTAGCTATGTTAACAAAGTCTTAAAGTTACGCTACACCAACCATTGAGAACTTCAATGTGGCATTAAGACGTATGCACATAACCAGTGAGACAATCGGCTTGCTAAATATATCATGCCCACTCATCGGATGCGGACTTGATAAACTACCCCAAGATGAGGTCTTAAAATCACTGAAGAACATCTTTGAAAAATCTCAAGTAAACATTTACATATGGCGCTATAAAACTGGAGATTTAAGCCCACACTGAGATCCCAAACGCTATGAGTATAGCACGTATGGTGCAATGCGCTGTGATATCGCACCATACGTGCAATGCCTCAGCCATATTGCACCTTTGGTGCAATGCTTCCCGAAAAGGCCCTATGCTAATGCATGGGAAATGGGAGGCATTGCACTTCATGTGCAATGCTTTTGCATTGCACCAATTGACGCTATACTCATAGCGTTTGGATTCTCAGTGCATCAGCATCATTGTTAACTCCAAACATAATGTTAGCTGGTGATAGCAACTTTTTACGTGTTTTAAAAAAATTGCCTGGAACAAGACAAGGTCATGTAATATGAGGTGGTAATTTGTTAAGCATACATTATTCACTGTTGCATAGCTTACCAACACAACATCTGTTTTTCATGTGTGGAATAAATGATTTACTATTCTTTCAAAAGGAAAATGTACCCAAAAGAATCATTTCGCAGAAACTTCGTGTAACGATGAGGAAACTCATGAAAGCTCTTAAGATGCTGCCTGGAGGTGCCACAATCTTGACTATAACCACCATGTCCCCTGTTAGAAGAAGACTCTGTTTCATTTAAGGTCCAAGATTTCAATCACCTTTTGTGTAAAATTGCAAACAGCAATTACCCCGGAGAGTAACAATTTTTCAGTTTTGAGCCCATATTAACCGAACTATTTGACCCAGGTGATTGAAAATTTGACACAGCATGCTCTTAACATGTTTGAACCGACAAACAATCACCTCATGAACCGTCCATGAACAGTTTCGGCTTGCCAGGCAGAGTTTTTACGCCTAAAGCGAATTTAGGTAAAAAGTGTTAAATACAGAAACCACTTTATCTGCAGAAGTTTGCCCTTGTTTTGACCTCCGGGTGAGTGATTAGATGGTTTAAAGTGTGGCCGATGCGATGCGCGCAAACGGGACAAGCCTCAAAGGTCGCCGTTAGATGGGAGCATCATCGCAATGCTTCCGGGCAGAGATGTACGAAGTTACACCGAGTGTCCGAAATTACCCCGTTACACGGTACCCTCTCTTTTCAAGCGTAATCACTTTGCGCTTGAAATCAAGCGTAATAGGTTCATCCGCCGAGTTTCCCCCAATCTAAATGCATGGGGGAATTTCCAGCAAATACTTTATTCCGAGTGTAATGTTTTCAACCGTTACTTTATGCTTGACTCAAGCATAGAATTACGCTTTAGTTCTACCAGTGAAGGACCGACCTGGACGAGTCCTCCCAGCCCCAGGCCGAGAGTTCCGGGGAACCAAGGCCACATGCCCATCGCGAGCCGACCTTGGAACACCACCGGGGCCACCACACTGAACGCGGCAACGACGCTCCACGCCTGCATTAGTTGGTAGCCGTTGCGCGAAAGAATCAGCAGGCGCCTGGCTGAGATCTGTGAGACAAAACACACACTGGTAAAACTAAAGCGTGGTATTACCCACTGTTTTCAAGCGTAATCAGTTTACGCTTGAAATCAAGAGTAACAGGTTCATCCGCCAAGATTCCCCCTATCTAAATGCATGGAGGAATTTCTAGTCTATGCTTGACTTCAAGCGTAACCTATTCAAGCATAACTTTATGCTTGATTCAAGCATAGAGTTACGCTTCAGTTTTACCAGTGCAGGAGCTTCCCAAACTCAACACCCTCCACATCTGACCATGCAAATTATGAAAGAACCCCGCGGCAGAAGGATCCTGTTCCACCTCCAATCGGCTCTCCTTTCCTCCTGACTGATCTATCCACAAATTATGTATCTCAAGTTGACGTTCCGTTCCACTCCAATTGAGTTAAAATTTGTTGAAATTTGTTAATATTTTTTAATTTTCTTTGGTGGTATAGTGGTTTGGTGATTTGGACCATTTATGAATTTGTTAAGTTTTTGACTAGTATCTGTGATAAATTTGTATATTTTTTTTTAATTTTTGGAGTTTATTTGTAGCAAATTTGCCGTCCTGTGATGCCCTTTAGTGACATATTTATTGTTGATACCTGAAAATAAAAATATTTTCTGACCTTGGAGCACTGTGGTTTGATTCCCGTATCCCGAAACGCAAAGCTCCCCGTGTAAGGGAATATTTTTTAAGTCAACATCTGTTTGTTTGAAATGTTCTCACCTAATATGCTTTTTGGTGTATTCAGACACCCGAGCAGAAACTGGCGCAGTGGAGACGAGACATGAAGCCATAGGCTAAAGAAGCAATAAGTTAATTTTTTCGAATAATTCTGAAAGTTTTTAAAACTTATTTTACTTGATTTTTAATAACGTAATAATTCCGAAGTTTTTTTTAAACTTATTTTTGCTTGATTTTGCATCACGCAATAATTCATAAGTTTTTAAAACTGGTTTTAAATAATTTGCATTACGCAATAATTCAGAAGTTTATTAAACTTATTTCACTTGATATTGAATTGTGTTTGTTTTGCATCAATCCTATTCTCCCCTCAAGAAGTGCATGCCTGGCACGCACTTAAGGAGACAATTCAAGTGGAGCTGAGGTCTGCGTAGAGTCTATATTTCTGTGGTACATTTTTGGAGTTACCTCTTTTATCCAACTGGTGCGATGGGGAGTTAAGTTGAGTTGATTCTTTTTACATAACATTCGTAAACACACAAATTGAGTTGAGTTATCTCCTTATGCCATTTTGTGCAATGGAGTTATGTTAAGTTCGGTTGGGTTACCTCCAATTTCCGATAAAATTTAGACAGTAAAAGGGGTTAAGTTACGTCCATTTTTCATGTGGATATTCTCCTTAACGGTCAGGAATTGGGTCAAACAATCTGGTGTTAAGATGCAAACCATCCTGAGGCACAATAAGAAGATAAAAGCTCAATTTGGAGATAAGTCGAATTCCTGGATCACTGTTCACACTTCTTGCAGTGCTCGACAGTACCTGCGCTGCCAGAGTCGTGCTGTCCCAAGCCATGTTCGTCGCGAGTTCGGCTCCCTCGGCCAGGAGCCGCTGCAGCCTCCTCCGCTGGAAGGCGAACAAGCGCACGGCCTCGAAGCAGGGCAAGATGGACAGGGGCAGGCGGAGCGCCATCAAGATCTTCATGACGGACCCCTCCGTCATCAACGCGCCCAGGAAGATGCTCGCCACCAGGCCGGCCAGGAAGTAAGCAAAGGGCTGCGGGCGCAAAAGATCTACTGACGCTCTGCACTGGACATGTGCAGAGGAACAGTCTGCACACGGCAAAAGTACCGCCTGGGATTCCCAGGCGGTGCCTGGAAAATAGGCCCTTTTCCCCATGATGCGCCTGGGAATCCCAGGCGGTACTTTTGCCGTGCAGACTAAGTGTTGTACGATGAAGATTCTCCATATTATGGTGAAAATGCTCCATGTTATGATGGTGCAGCTGACTTCATAACATACCATGAGAAACCACTGTACCTTACAGATATTTTGACGAATTTCATTGGTATTATAGAGAATATCTCCGCCAGCTGCCTTTCACCGTGGGACATTTACAGTATGCGAAGTGCCGCTTTGAAATACGAACACACTAATATATGTATTTTTTTTGTGCATAAGCTTCGGGCAAAATTGAGCACACGTTTCGAAATGCACGTATTTGAGCGTAACTCAGCACGAAAGTGTGCGCTGTTGCGCACTAAATTCGTGCATATCAAACCGCATGGTCAATTTCGTGCAAAGCTGCACAAAAAAAAAGTACATGATAATCAAGTGTTAACTTAATAGAGGCATTATTTTGCGACACAGAAGAGGAGGTGGACCTGCCAACCAAAGTGATACTCCGCATGGCTGGTTTTGTGCGGCGGCGCAGGCTTGACGACGGCGGGGTTGAGTTTTGCCACTTATAGTCTGTGATAAATGATGCTACTGTAAATATGAATCGTGTGAATCTGTAATGACACTGAAGATACTTTAAAGGAACTCCGGAGCCAAACTTTAATCGTTTTCCATATTTGCCCAACTACGTCCTGCACAGTGTCCTTGGAGGAGAGAGCGGTACACACAGTGTCTGTGTATGTATGGTATGAAGTACCACAAAATGTAAAGCTTCCTTTTATTATTCTTTAACTCTGTAAACTCAACAACTATTATGCAATAAAATGCTTTTTTGAATACTGAAAACTTGTCTTTGTTAATATGCAGCTGACCTCAAGAAAGATGATGGTTTGTAATGAACCAAAGCCTGAGTGTTATCAAGGCGAGTGCTCGCAGAGTCCGGGAACACTTCCACAAAGGGAGGAATTGGAAAAAAGCAAGAGTAGAGTACAAACAATGGGGTTTCGTTAACAGCGCCGCACTTTAACGTGTTATGAAAACTGATCAATATATTGATAGATTTTTGGGAATGGTTCCAAGTGTGTTAAAGCATCACTTTGTTGATAAATGACAGGCTTAATTTCTTTCTGATTTGAAAGAAAAACTGCAGCCTGGAGAATGTTTTGTGACTGGTGATTTTTTAGAAAATTATACCCCTGTGACTCAAGATGCAATTCAATCTGAACATTGGAAGAAGAACCAAATTACTATTCACCCATTTGTCTGTTATTATAAGGAGGATTCAAAGCCAAAGATGTATATTTTTGCTGTGATATCTGATCACTTGTCTCACGACAGTATAGCTGTCTACACATTCTAGCAGAGACTAATAGTCTTTGAAAGGTAAAGTGCCCAATATTAAAAAAAAAAATAATTGCTTAAGTGCACTACAAAATTAAATGTGTGTTTAGTATACAGCTGTGGGAGTGTACTTGCAAGTACACATCTATAGGTGTGTACTTGATAAGCATACATCTACAGATGTGTATACTTGGGCAAGCATGCATCTATAGCTGTTTACTTAGACAAGCACACATACATGTCACCTATTTGACAGCACACTCCTATTGATGCATGAGATGTGTACTTGCAAGTATACTCCCACAACTGTGTACTAAGCACACATTTGATTTTGAAGTGTGATGGCTGTAGTTGACAATAAGCAAAACTCAATAAATTTAAAAATGCACTTTCAGGATTTTGAGATTCTTGCTGAGTGGCAGTTTTTTGCCTCGTGCCATGGGAAAGGACCCTGCGATGGAATAGGTGGTACCATCGAGCGAGAAGCTGCTAAAGACAGCTCGCGCAGAGTTCGCAGGGATGGTATCCAGTCAGCCCACCAACTTTATGAATGGGCAGTATCACAGACGCACTGCCCAGGTCACACTGGTCAATGCCTCTGCGATGCGCACGCACCTCTGCGCCCAGGAAATTTTTGGGGTCTACAACTGTGAATTTTGTTTCTATTGACGACATAAAGTATATGCAGGTGGAGTACGCCCACAGGTTTGAGAACACTCCCCCTGCGGAAGGCATAACCTCATGCCACTGCATTTTTTCCCTTTCACAGACTATGGTCCTGATAAAATTATATTCAGAGGCTCCTTCCCGTCATTATACATATTATGTGAACTTGGTTCGCAGTCTTGAGAGTTTTCAAAGTTTACAAAGACTTTACAAAGAATCATACAGATATTGCGGGGGTGCCGCTGCTATGCCTGAATACGCCCTGCGCATGTGGGACCAATTTTGCACCCTGCAGCCACCGGCGGAGTCGAGTCAGACAGAATCGCCAACAGATATTGCGAGGGTGACGCTGCTGTGCCTGACTACGCCCTACGCATGTGGGACCAAGTGCACCCTGCAGCCACCAAATGTGTTAAGGTAACGACGACTTCCTGGGAATGTAGTCGTGTCTTGTATATTGTTTTTGAGCTGCCTAATAGGGTGGTCCACTTTTTTTAAAAGTTTCAAAAATCGAGGAGCGCCGTCCAGATTCTGAAAGTAGGTGTAAAATCATGAATTTTGATACAAATATGATATGATTTGGACCATCCTTAGGGGTCCATCAACGCGCCTGAACTTTAAAGAAAAGTTGAAAATGTAGCGGTATACTAAAATCGATGCTGTTACGAGAGTCTTTGTCCGATTTTCGATTGCAAAACGGTGATCTTTTCAGAAAAGTGCGCTCTACTTGATGATGTACATAAAATGACGATCTGACGCATTGCCTATTTTCCAGGGGCGTACAATCCCTTTTTTAGCCTCTAAATCCAACATGTTCTTGCGTTTTGAAGGTGTTTGAGTCGTCCGATCGAATTTTTTGGGTCACCATTCGACGCGCCTGATCAAAACCTTTCGAAAAATGTCTCAGGCGTCAAAATCGGTTGGTTTGCCTACTGTACAGGAGCAAAAAACCACTGAAATTCGTTTAAAAATTGCTTTTTCGGGATACGAAATATCCTGTTTGGCATTGGGTCGGATTTCTTGTGGTGCCATTTGTCGCGCCTGGTCAAAACCTTCCAATTACCGTCCTGGGTGTACAAATCCGGTGGATTGCCGACCCTACAAGCAAAAAATGTCGAATGTCGAAAAATTCGTCTGTAGGATACGCGACCCTCTGGATTCAGGCGCTCGAAACGGTAATCGAAAGTTTTTGAC